AAAAAAAAAAAAAAAAAAAAAAAGAAAAAGAATGTGGGGGAATAAAGAAAAAAAATAAAGGCAATAAAAAATATATATATACTACCCGTATATGGATTGAGGGAGGAGATACAAGAGGTAATGAAAAATGATTTAAAGGGTAGTTTTGTCTTTAAAATGTGAGTTTGTTTTAAAATATGTAATATTTTTCACGTTCCTTGAGAATATCAAGTAAGAGTAATTAATGAGAGTTAAAGTAGCCAATTAGAAGAGCAACTGTGAAAGGACCGTCGTCGCTTTGCATTTCTCTTTATTATTTGATTGAATATTAAATGCCTCGTTTTGACAAATATATCATTAAACGGATTTATTAAATGTGTCGAGTTTGAATTTACTTATTTAGTAGACACGATTATGACCCACGAACATGAATTGCCGTCCTTATATGGTGCACATACTTGGAAACAACAATTTAGCTGGGGCATTTAATCAAACAGTGGATGGATACACTTATTTAACAAAATCTATAAAAAATAATAATAATTAAAAAAAGAAAAAAAAAAAAAAAAAAAAGAAGCTAGCCCAGCGGGGCTTCAGCAATGAGCTCCTACAAAAAAGAAAAAAAAAAAAAAAAAGAAGCTAGCCCAGCGGGGCTTCAGCAATGAGCTCCTACAATTTCAAGGTAAGATGTAAACAGTCTTTAAGATATTTTTTATTTTAAACCCACACAATAGAGCAACCTCAACGCCCTCACAAAACAAACAAATAAAAAAGAAAAAAAAAAGAGTAAAAGGGGATAAATTTATGTGTTGTGGAAGGAGACAACTTCTCAATGGATATAGATTTGGTCCAACACCACATTTTATGACGGCATTAATTGAAGTTTTACATGCAATGCACTAAAAGCAACAATTCAAACAAGTTCTAATTACAAAATTAAGAACATCAATAAGAAAATCACAGTATCAAAGACGATAAACCTTTTTTTTTTTTTTTTTTTTTTTGTAGCTTTAAATTCGATTGAATAATAAAAATTCAGGAAATAAATAAATAAATAAATAAAAACCAGTGACCATTAGCCTTTGCGAAATCTCTCAGTACTGTCTTTGATTCATAGCCTCGTCTTCATGCTCATCTCCTCTATATCATTTACAGTCCGCAAACATTGAGAATAAGATTTGTAGATCTTTGTGTCTCACTCCAAAAGTCCATTTCAGAGATGGTTTTGGGCATCAAAGAAAAAGATTGAAACGCTCAATTTCTTGAGCAACAAACAACTGAACTCTTATGTTTTTTTCTTTTCTTTTTTAGAATATTAATATAACAATATTCGTCGAATCATTTCATAAAATAATTACTAAAAAAAAATAGGTTAAAATCCTAAAATTCTCATTACACCGTTATCCTTTTTGTAGTGACGAATCTTGTATGTGTTCCTAAGAAAAGGAATTTGTCCATTTTTTTGGGTCTCAAAGACGTGCATCAAATTTATCATGTATCCCACCCTTAATTGGGTTATAAAATGTCGAAATTGATTTTATTATTCAATATTAAATTAAGAATATATATATAATTTTTAAATTACAAAAAAGTGTAGTATATATAATTATTACATTCTTTAATGACAAATTTTCTTGATTGGCCGATTGTAAAATATAATCACAGTACTGTGTGTTTTTTTGGGAAAAGTATTCAGACTTTGAAGAATGTGCTTAATTTTTTTATCAATGTCAAATTGTCAATTCACTTTAAAAGTGTAGTATATATATTTTTTCATCAATCTAAAACAAAAAAATTAACTTGAATTCTTAGTTATTGTATTGGTGACCAAAAAAAAAAAAAAAGTTACTGGATTGAAACGTGATATACATTCTCTCAATTAAACAAATGACAATATAAATTTATATTAAATTTATATTTAGAATGTTGATGCAAAAATCTGATCGGCATTTTTATAACAAAACATTTATTTTGTTTCCGTTAAAACAAAATATGTACCAGTGCAACTACAGAGGTGATTACTTGCAGAAGTCACTCACTGGGTTCAGTGAGAATAATGGACCTGGGCCATCTATTAACACTGACATTCGAAACAAATGAAAGTCACATGGTGGTGGGCCTGGTTGGTCCTTTTATTAGATGCATGATGCAAAGTAGCCTTTTGGGCTAGCTCGGCCCATTTGCATGGGTTAAGACTTTTCACTAATTGGAGATTATTCTTAGATGATTCAATCCTATTCCTGTTGGGACTCTAATTTGATTGACCGACACAATTTATCACATGTTAAGGTAATTGTTTGATGATTTTGAACTATAACACAAGTCCCATATCGAAAAAGTACAAGAACTTGAAAAAAATTATAACTATAAAAACACCACATGGAAGATTTAGAAAAAGCATCATTGCGCTTGGGGCAATGACGCAGCTAGTGAGGTTTTAACCGAGGCGCGTCAATTGCTGGTTGAAAACTATTTCCTTTTTTTATCGCTCTCTTTGGCTTGGGTTCCGCCTGGGCTATCGAGAATTTTTGGAAGGGCTCCCTTCTTGGGTTAAGCCCTACAATTCCGAGTTCCAAACTTTTATTCATGCAAAAACCAAAAATCACACACCCATTATATATTTTGTCAAATTCAATTCACAAGAACATACATTAAGATTTCATCATGGTACTCCGTAGCTACCTATGGAGAAAGATATCTATATATATAATTAATGTTTCAAAGTTTTCTTCGAACTTGCATGTGGTTCGAATAACGATACCGATGAGAACAAATGTATTACTGTAGTAGTTAAGAAAATTAAACTTGCTTGCCTTTGAATTCAACCAGTGAATTTGAGCTCCCATCCATAGTAAAATGTAGGACAAGCCTTCCCATTTAAGCTTCATATTGCACCATGGTAGTATTAAAGGCAACAGGCAGAAGAACCATTCAAAGTACTGGCTGTCATGACTGCCAAAAAATAATAACCAATAAAACATAAGAATATCAAAAGAAGAAACCAATCAGAAATTCCCTATCCAAAGTATGAGCCCATAATTTCAGAAATAAAATTACTTCTGGAGGCAGATAGAGTGATTTTTCACGTAACAAGACTCGATAGTCCGATTTGCATTTTTAATTAGAACTAAAATAAGAAGGCAAAAAGAGATCTCAATTTCAGTGACAGTACAAGGCAGAGTGTTGAATTCACAAACCTTGTTAAATGCTAGAAATGCTACCGTCTGCACAAAGAAACAGAATGGCAAATACTGAGTGAAGCGGAGAATAAGAACTAGCTAAACAATAAGTTGAGGCAGAAAACAGATGAGTTTCTCTAAGATTAAAAACTCACGGTCGTAGTGTAGATAGATGTGATAAAAATATATGGAAAAATTGTGTCTTGGATCTGTACGGGTAAGATGGTATAGCAGAGCCTCATGCAAGAATTCCAAATTATATAGATAGAAGAAAATCCCAGTACAAAAGAAGAAGACAACCACAGAGATCAGTCCCGACATAATTCTCTCTTGAAAACATGTTTTTCAAAGCAACAATAAATGGCATGGACAGTAACTCCCATGCCACTTAGACTCTGGCTGACTTAACTTTACTAGAATTCCAATCCATAAGGACAGGCTTCTGAATAGATTGATAGTAAAAATGTATTTAATTAACAACTCTTAATTTTTTATAATTTCAATTTTACGATCCTAATTTAGATTAATTAAGAGGCTGTGGTATCACCTTTCAATTCAATGACTCAGAATTCAAGTTATTGGTACTTTATAGATTGATAAAATATATATCTATATATATATACACATATACACAGGACACTAGTGAATTGATATTCATGCATCCAACTCATAAATAAAAGAATCAAATATTACAATGTAATTCTTTTTCTCTCTTTCTTTTTTCCCAATCTAGTGGATAAATTTTCTTTTGTCTCAACATTCTCCTTAGCTTCGTTTGACAAGTAGACTCAGCATGGTCAAACCAAATCTCAATCAAATGATCCGTTAACTAATAATTCAAGTCAAACGGTCCCCAATATTACTTTATGGTCTTAAGCCTTAATGTATTTGCCGGCAATAACAACAAATCAAATATAAGAAAGAAAATAACAAAAATATTTTGCGAGATTTACATGAATATATCAATTGATTATGGAGTCTTATGGAGTCTTCTGTAATATTTGTTCAATTTAGTTTTTGAGTTAAGTAGCATTACTCGTTTTGTTATCAACCACGATGATCGTACTAGCATTGGGTCTCAAGTGTAATTTCCTTCTGACTTTTAATACTTTGTAAATATATTCTAAAATATTTTTTTTCTCCCCAAATAAATATATTCTAAAATCATAAGACGTGTTTAGACTAGTTTATTTAAACAAGGTAATTAAAATACCCAAATGTGCTATATATATATTATAAAACCCAAATCATCAAGTTTTAAACTTAAATAATATCTCTTATTATTATTATTATTATTGAGAGTATTCAAGGGTGGTTTATTGAGTTGAACTTTGTCGTTAGGAAACAAAGGAATAAATCCAAATATATCTTAGAGAAATAAAAAAATAATAATAAAAAAAAAAAACCATACAACACAGCCAGAGAAGGCGACTTAGAGGTATGACTCGTGCTCAATTTGATATATGAAATGTTAAACTCTCAATGATTTATTATTTTGTTTTTTTGGCGTTTTGAAATTATTAATCGATACAATTTGTAATGAAAATTACGTTGTTAGGAAATAAACCGACCTCCAACCCTAATTACTCTACCCAAACCCAATCTATTTATTTTTTAATTTTTAAACTCGAGTTTGACACTAAAATTTTTGGGTTAAAAGTTGAGTTAATTGAAATTGCTTATATCACCAAATCTCCACAAGAAAAATTTAACGTGATTTTGAGTTAGTTTCAAGTTACATTACTTGTAAGCATACTAAAAAAATAAAAAGTCAAAGCAAAATTTTAAAAAATTACAAACAAATTGTTAACGGACAATAAATAAAGATTTAAACAAATAAAATTAAAAAGTAATCATAATTTGAATATATATAAAATATTAAAAATGCAAAGAATAAAATTAATTAGAAATTGGAAACAGGTTGTTGGTATCTCTGCCAAACTTCAACTCTAATTAAGTTGTCCTATAAAGAATCCTACTCCCATCTTTTTTTGATTATGAGTTCTCTAAATCAATTTGGAGATTCATTCGATCAGCTAAAATGCCGGTTTTGCCCTTTAGCTGAAACGACCTAATTGTTTGGTCTCTCTCGCCACTGGAAGGCTTATGACTTGTCATGAAAGAACTCTGTGGCTAGTAGTACTTGTGAATCAATTATCACTACATCTGCTGAGGAGTTGGCGTGCTCTGACGGTGACCTGCAACTGGGCAAGCGCATGCATGCAATGTAAGGCCATTCGAGCTTGTTTTCTCACATAGGCTCCGCGAACCACCGCTTGCACCTTCACAAGACTCTTCAGCGCTCGAAATGCTTTCCTTGCCTGTCAAACATTCACACCAAACACAGAATGTATAAATTAAGAGAGTTCATGAGTTATGTAAACCATTAACTGCAATCAAACAAAATTTCATAGTGGTCTGATTTTGAAAACAAAAAATTATTACTCCGTATTAAAAAGCTGAACCCTTTTAGCATGAAAGAAATATGTGAAGATATATATATATATATATATATATATATATGTTGATGGGTGAATGGTGAAATACAAGATGAGCCCTAAAAGAGGCTTGGATCTTCATGGCTGCAATGTCTTCTTCAGATAGTAACTCTTTCTTCGGGGTCGGGCTACTGGAGGGAGAAGAAAAAGCAGCTTCTGATTTTGTTACGTCGCGATTGACTGCATCTTCTATGGCAGTTGCATCCTCTGTGAAGCTCGTGGTGGTGGTGGTCGTGGTGGAGGGAGAAGAATGACAGTTTCATGATGAGAATACCTGAAAAGCTTTCTTCGAATGACGCCGAACCAATTCTGAGACTTTCCCATTTCTTCCTATTGTTGCTTCAGAGCTAGCTTTAGATTCAATGTATACTACTACTTCATTCATAAGAGCTTGGAAAACTTCCCTTCAAAGTTAGAGTTGTGGGCACCATGTTAGCACAGATATATTGTAACAACCCACTCTACCACATGGTATGATATTGTCCGCTTTGGGCCTGAGCCCTCACGGTTTTGCTCTTGGGCCTTTACCCCAAAAGGCCTCATACCAATTGGAGATGATGCACTTACATATAAGCACTTCACCTTTCCTCTACCCAGGCGATGTGGGACTGTGCACCCGTAGCTCGCCAGTGTGGTAGCCTGACAGTGTCTCTCGCACCCGCCCACGGCACACCCGCCCACAAGGTCATCACAATCCACCCCCCTTGGAGGCCCGACGTCCTCGTCGGCACACTTCCGGCTGGGTCAGGCTCTGATACCATTTGTAACAACCCACTCTATCACATGGTATGATATTGTCCGCTTTGGGCCTGAGCCCTTAATGAAGGTCCGTGGTTATTTAATTATTTAAATGATCACTTTTGTATCAATTATATTTATATATATAATTATATATAAATATAATTAATTAATAATTGTTATGGAAAGATATATATATAGATATATATTTATTGATATTTAAAGGTTATTTCTTTAATTCATAATACTAGTTGGAATAGGATTTATAAGTATATATGATTTAATTAACTAATGAGTTAATTATGGAAGGAATATATATTTATATATAATATATGTTTATAGATATAAATTATTTAAAGGTTATTTCGTTAATTCATAATACTAGTTGGAATAGGATTTGGAATTTAAGGTGTATAAAAATACACATAAGGCTTTAGGGTTAAAGGTTTTACACGTTAGAAAAATAAAACAGACAGAGAGAGAGGAAGAAGAAGGGCTGACAAGGAGGAGGTTGGATCTGAAAAGGAGGACGTCGGAATTGGAAGAGATAATTAAAGCTTAAAGCGTCGGTTTCGTTTCGAAACCTTCAGGCGAGTTTTCTCTAACTTTCCTCTTAGAACTCATAAGGATTTCACCTTGAGTATCAAGGCTTTAATTAAATTTATTTGTTTAAAAATTATGGTTAGATCGGAATAATTAAAAAGTATAAACTATTATATTTGATTTTTCTATTATTGGATTTTAATTGATATATATAGGTGTTATGTATATTTTAAAATCAATCTATAGGTGGATTTGTGACCCAAGAGAGTTAATTATGGTTTCTTTATTTTCTAGAATTGTTCTGTAATTTTCTGGAATTTTTCTGATATTTTTAGGAATTTATTAGGATTTATTTTCCTATTATTTGTTAGGAAAATAATTATATATATATATATATATATACTAGGTAACTGGCGCATGTGGAGCGGCGGCACAATAAAGAATTGATCCAGTGCAGCGCGGTGTAGGATAATAGGGTGTATACGTCAATTAGGGCCATTTGATTAATTAAACTTATGTGAATTGATATGGTGCATCGCGGCGCATAAAAGTTTGGTGCGCAGGTGTATCTGGACCATAGAAGTGGTCTGGTCAACTATGGGATTATTTGGTGTATTGCAGACCATGAGAAGATGGTGCACTCGCTGATCTGGACCTTAGATCTATTATAGTTAATAGAAAATAATCTAGTGTGAGCGTGTTCATTTGCGCACTCATTTATGACCATTGGATGCGGCATAAAGGAAATGATGGATTCAGTGTGGTGAGCTCACGGTAGCTGAAAGAGCTTAGCCAATACCAGCACACAAGGAGGCTTGAATCCAGCGCGTGCAAGTGCATAGTAAGCACGTGGGCGCGCGTGGGAAACTATGTTGGCCTAATTCGACACTAGAAATTAAAACGGTCATAACCTAGTCATTTTAAATCGAAATTGGGTCATTCTTGAGCTCAAATTCAAGGATTTTTCGTCTTCTTTCCAATGGTACCAATTTCATTATCAGATTCCCATCCTACTAGGAGATATTTATGTTTTAGTGAGAAAGTGTCGGAAAACTATTTAAACCAATATGGAGTATTTAAAGGAAACTATTTCTGACATATTTAGTTGCACTAATTTGTGTAAATATAATAAATTAATAATTTGTTATGGAAGGAAGTGTATATATATATATATATATATATATATATATAATTATTTATATATGTGTATATATAGTTTAATTTGTCTATGAGTTGTATGGAAGGATGAATATAAAATTATTTATATATGTGTATATATAGTTTAATTTGTCTATGAGTTGTATGGAATGATGAATATATATATATATATATATATATATATATATATATATGTATATATATTGATTTTAAATAATCAAGGATTATTAAAGAAGGTGTTAAACACATATATACATTAAATAACATATGTGTAGGTATATATATATATAAATCATTTAAGATGATTAATATTATCATTCTTATTTGGCATATCTTAATAGGCTGGTTATTAAATTAATGATATGCGTATAATATGCATGTGATGGCTAGGTATGATTTAGCGTATTGTTAATTTTAAAGTTAATTCATGGTTAAAGTGTGGGCATGGATGAATTGTCAAATGATTAAATATATTACCTAAATATTTGTATGAATAGAATACATATATGGAAAGCATGGATGAATTGCTAATTAAATGTATGAATAAATATACCTGTGGAGGCATGGTTGAATTGCCAATGTATAAATATACATACACGGAGGCATGGTTGAATTGCCAATGTATAAATAAATATACTTATGGAGGCATGGTTGAATTGCCAATATATAAATAAAAATATTTGTAACGGCATGGTTGATTTGCCAAAGCATAATTACGTTATTATGTGTTAGATGATTAAAATATCATCTATGGTTGTTGTATGTATGGATTGGATTAGGGTTAGATATTCTTAAATGAGAATAGTTTAGTACTTACTGGTTAGTGTATTATTTTACATTAATAAAATAATATTGGGGAAGACGTGGATGATTTGTCAAAACTTGGATTTTGGATATGTGATTTAAACAATTAAAATCATTATCGGGTTGGGATTAAATAGAGTATTTCTTTTATTATAATTTGTTGTTTAAATGATTAGACAACTGATTAGGATGGGATTAAGGTCAAAGGAGTTTTTATAAAATGAAATGGTAGATTGGTCTAGGTATGAATATTATTTTAATAATTATTTAATAGGTATGAAAATTTAATAAACCTATTAATGGATGTGATTAGTATAGTATATATAATTATATATAGACATGTGTATCGTGCTTTATTAAAGTTAAAACTTTATTAGGTTTGGTTTTGATCAGAGATGATCTGCTTATTGGTTTTCAGAGGCCTGGTAGAGTGAACTTGCTCGTAGGGTTTAACCCACGATTTATTTTTCAGGTTATTAGAGGTTCCAGTCTCGAGGTTGAGGATCCGCAGCTGGGAGACTGTCATTCGTCTATTCATCTTGTGTACTTTTAAATAGTATTGGATTATTGGATAATGTTTTAAGGGGTCCTTGAGTTATGGGATTTCCGAATTGTAATTGTTGGAGAATCATTAAGTAATATTTATTTATTAGTTTTCTTCAGCGGTTTATTTATTCTTTATTATTCATCTTTGTATTCTGTGCTTGTTAAATACTTAAATTGTTTTGATATCCCTTGATTTTGTGCGCGGACTTGATCAATCCGTGTTCTAAAATTAGGGGGTATCACATATATATACATATATATATATATATATATATATATATAGAGAGAGAGAGAGAGAGAGAGAGAACGTGGCAGGATGAATATCTTTCAAGCATTGCAACCCCTAGACCCTGGGACCAAAAGTGTAAAATGACCACCACTCAGACTACCTAAGTATTGGTCCCAGTCAACAATAGAATGGTTGATATATACATGATTGGTTCTTGGTAAGGATACGAACACATTACTTTTAGAAATATCTTAAATTATCATATAACGTTTTTTTAATAATTATAAAATCATTAGGTCATAATAGGGGCGGCAAATTACGACATCGTGTCGAGTTAGGATTGAGGGCCGGTTTAAACATAAATTTTGTTTGTGCCTTGTGATTTTTCTTATTCGTTTAATAAACGTGACTCACAAGCACAAATTGCCACCCTTAGGTCATAATAATCATATCACTAATGTACTTGAATAAATTCAAAATCCTATTTTGTTCACAGAAGTTCCTAGGTTGTGGGTGTAAAACTAAAGTTTGGAACTCAGAATTGTAGGGCTTTACCCAAGAAGAGAATTCTTCCAAAAATTCTCAATGGCCGAGCGGAACCCAAGCCAAAGAGATCAATAAAAAGGGAAATAGTTTTCAACCAGCAATTGACACGCCTCGGTTAAAACCTCACAAGCTGCGTCATTGCCCCAAGCGCAATGATGTATTTTTTAATGTTGTGTATGTATTGTTTTTATAGTTAAAATTTTCGCATCCGCTTCATACACTTTTTCGATGTGGGAATTATGTCACATAATATCAAACAAGTATAATACAATTCTCTCCCTGTTTAGATTACCGGTCAATCAAATTAGAATCCTAGCATAAATAAAATTGCTTCATCTAATCAATCCCCAATTTCATCTACACTATTGATTTGTTCCAAAACTTTTCCTGTCCGGACTCCGGAGTGCTACTTTTGTAGGCGTAATACATCCAAATGGGCCAAGTTGACCCAAAAGGCTACTTATTTTTACTACTCTGCATAACAATGTGGGTTGGGCTAGTACCACCTAATTAAAGAACCAACCCACCACCATGTGACCTCCATTTATATCGAATGTCCATTGTCAATACATGGCCCAGGTCCATTATTCTCCAAATAATTAAGCGTTTTGTTTTACTCGAAATAAAATAAATGTTTTGTTATAATCTATTTTGAATA